GCTCTTATAGAGAATATTCAATATTACCCACTTGATATTTAATAAATTATACAATATCTTGATAATTATATGAACAATATATGATTTTTATTGTCGGAATCATCACTAAATCATGCTACCCATCCAGAAACATCAAAGGGTACATTTCAACATCAATATATTGTATGAAAATGTATAAAATTGACCCAATAAACACCAACCCAAACCCAGAATTAAAAATAGAAATCTTCTAAACCCAACGTTCAAACCCTAGCCCAAAATTATAAACTTATTCAAATATCATTAAATTTTATATCATTCGATTGTAAATGATGAGTAGAACAATGTAGTATATTTAGTTTTTCAATTTATAAAATATTAACTTTGTAAATAATGTCAGATTAAAATTGTTAAAATGAAACCATAGGAAGAATGATAATTTCAAAATCGTTTAATGAGATTATATAGTAAATATCATCATTAACAACATTCATAATCACTTTCATATGAAATTTCAAAAGTTCAAGTCTGTAGATATAAAAGTATTGAGTGAAAAGGTAAGATGTGAGGTAAAATAGGTCAACTATAACTTTTGAGTTTCTCATCAAAACATATTAAATCCTGCCATGAAAATGTTTCATTTGATTAGTAAACATCGAATATCAAATTTATTTTGACTTTCATATTTAGAGATTTCTTCCCTCAATCACACATGGTCAACTATGATGAAAAGGTGGAAATTTTGAAAAAAGACCACTATTGAAACTTTACCATCATAATGTAGATGATCTATAATGATATAGAGTTTAATTTCATGTACTAATAATCAGAAATGGTACCATGGGAATGTAAATGTTGATTTTACAAAGTTGACTGAAGGAAAGACAAGTAAGATCAAGTCTATCAAATATATCACTTCAATCAACAAATTATACATGTACATGCTCCATTCGATGTGTAGAGATAGAATATAAAGTTTATTTTAACTTTCATATTCATGATTTCATCCTTTTCATACCATCTAGTCAACTATGGTCATGAATGAAAATCTGGAAAATGACCTCTCTATGAAACACTTCCATCATGTTTAACAACTCAAATAATGTTGTAGAATACAATTTTAGAGTTTTAAAATGTAATTTGATAATATAGTAAGGTAAAGGTTGATATTTTAAGGTTGACTTTAAGGATGGAAAGGTGAAAATCCAGATATCAAAAACATCACTCCAGTCAATAAAACACATATGAAAATGTTGCAAATGATGAGTAGTTAGCGAAAATATCATTTATTCTAATTGGAAATATCTCTAATATCTAAATGGTGGTAAACTGAACAAGTGAATCAGCCAAGTTGCCAAT